GAGAGCTGGCTGTTACACATTTACCAGCACACCACTGACCCCACCCACTCTCCGGAGGGTGGTACCTTGAGCTCAGCTCCCTGGCAGGGTGGGAGGGGTGATGATTTTGACGAGAGATGCTTACACACAAACTCACGCTCCCTCTCCCCAGCCAAGGTGCACTTTCCCTTCCACACCTGTGACCTGAGGATCGATGGCGACTGCTTCATGGTGTCTCCAGAGGCAGACACCTATTACGGAGCCAAGATGAAATGCCAGGTGACAGCTGGCCCCTGCCTTCCCGGGAAGCCCCTCCCCTCTAGGGTCGCAAGGACTAAGGAGGGATCCTGGACTGAGATGGTTCCTTCGACACCTTCTCATCATTAGCATAAAGCAGGGGTCCACTCAGAGGCCCACGGAAACCAAGAGGTCACATACTGAGCTGAGGGACCAGGAGCGAGGCCCCCACCCAACCCCCATCTAAGGAGCTGTCCTGACTCAGCTCCAGCTGCTGGCTGCCAACAGGGATACGAGTCGGGGAGGCCAGAACTCGGGATTTTTCAGAACCAGAAATCCAGATTTTCATTGGCATCTCTAGACTTATTAATGTTGGCGGCCAACTCAAATTGTGTAAGGCACTGAGCAAGTAAACCAAAAGCCTTCCAGTGGCAAGACCCTGCCAGGCTGGGCCCCGGCGCAGGCAGGGGAGAGGGAGGGGGACCCCTCGTCTAAGAGGCAGGAGGCTGTGGGGTGGGGGACGAGGACAGCACAGCCAGCACACGCACTTGTCACTCATGGCCGCGGTGGGGTGGCAGGAAGGGCTGCCTGAGCTCTGGGTCCCTGCCGGCATGACCCAGAGTGGGGGTTACAGGGAAAGGGCGGGGTCCTCGCCCAGATCGAGAGCCAGAAAGTGCAGGACATCCTCGCCTTCTACCTGGGCCGCCTGGAGACCACCAACGAGGTGACTGACAGCGACTTTGAGACCAGGAACTTCTGGATCGGTGAGTGTGGGGGCTGGGATGCCCCCAGGAATCTGGGCCGTGGAAACCAGAGCACCCACCAGCAGACAGTCAGGCTGGGGTGAAGGCTTGGAGCCCAATGGGGCCGGCAGTCAGGCTGGCTCCCCCTGCCCCGGGGAGAGAGCGGCAGGGAGAGAGAACCACCAGGGGAGCGCGAGGGCTGGGGAGGGGCCGAAGGGCAGGGACC